CCCAGCCTCCCCTCACCCCTGCAGCGTCTGTGACAGTAAGGAAGGGTGAGCACATCCCAGACTGCTCCTCTGGGAGAGTGCATGCTCTGGGAGAGTACAGTGGACAACATCCATCCCCCCACCCCAGGCCACTTAGTCCTGGAGCAACTGTATTTATAGTCTTTACAGGACAGTCACTAAGGAAATGACTTCATCCCTGAGGCTCTGACTATCTGTCCCCTGGTTGCAGAGGTGCTGGGCTATGTATGGTCTTTAAATCTGTAACTTTCAGCTTTCTTTCTTTTGACCCTTAAACATAATATGAAGGCCCCTGGCTAAGGACATGGGTGTGTGGGCATGTTCCTTTGAGCTGTCCTAGAATTAAAGAGACCTTAAGAGGCCATCTAATCGAACTCCTTGTTACATATGGAGAAACTGAGGCTGTAAGGAGTTTGATCCAGCCCAACTATGTAAACTTGAAACAATCAGATAAATCCTCAAGGCCTCGGTTTCTCATCTATAAAATGAAGGTCACCACTTCCTTGTAGTGACGGGGTAAGGATTTAATGTATTCTAAGCCCAGTGGCTGGCACATAGTAGATGCACAGCAATGCTAAGTCCTTTCCTTTTCAAGTGACCTTGTTGAAGGTCATCCAGCCAGTGAGTGGCAAAGCTAGGACCAGCTCTTAGGGCACCGGACTCCTGCTTCAGAGTTCTTGCTGTGACAACTGGTAGCTTCTTTTTCTGCAAAGATAGTGTAGAGCAGCTGTCAGTACCCCAGTCACATCAGCCTAAATTTGAATTCTTGCTTTATCACTTAATCCATGGGGACCTTGGGCAAACTGCATAATCTTCACAAGTCTTTGATTTTCTCATTTTACAAATGAGAATGATATCAAGAGAACCCCTTACAGATGTGAAAGGTTTGATGAGAAGGTGCCTCTACCTTGCAAAGCATAAGGCCTGACTCAGAGTCATTGCTCAGTAACATGAATTGTTGTCACTATTACTTGCAAACTTGCCACCTCCCTACAGATCCCTTCATAGCAGCAGAAATGGCCACAGGAAAAAAAAAGCTGAAAGGACCTCCAGGCCTTAAAGCCTCTGAGAGACTTTCCACATGCTGGGATGAAGGGCTAGGCCTGTCCCCCCATGCCAGGCAGTCCCAGGAACTGGCCTCCTCAAGATGATAAGAAGGGCCCAGGGTGGAGAGAGCAGGGGTCTGGGTAGTAGATTCTGAATAGCTTTTGGATGCCTCACCTCAGCCACGTCCTCTATCGGCCTGCTCCTCTGTTCTGGGATTTGACCTCAAGTAGGGAGGAGGGAACATTCAGTCACTCAGTCCACAAAGTATTAAGTACCTACTATGTGGCGGGCCCTGTTCTGAGCACTGATGAGAGAACATGGAACGAGACAGACAAAAATCCCTGCCCTCGCTGGTGCACATACTCTGATGGATGGATGGATAGGTGAGTGGGTGGGTGCATGGGTGGATGGATGGATGGATGGATCAGTGGATGGATGGATGGATGGATGGATGGATGGATGGATGGATGGACTGGTGGGTGGTAGATGCCTGCATTGGCTAAACCAAAGTTAGTAAACTCCTACTCTGTGCCAGCAATGTGAAGAAATGGGAGGGACAATGGTGAGTAATCATATCAATGCATTCACAGTCACTTCTGTTTGCTGAGTGCTTACAACATGACAGCACAATGCTAAGCTCTTTACATACCCCGTCTCATTTTACCCTAACCATGCCCCATGAGGTGGGAGTTATGTATTACTCCACTTTACAGATAAGGAAACAGACTCAGAGTAGGCAGGAGGACTGGGATCCAGTAACCCAGGTCGGGCTGACCAGAAGGCTGAACTGTGTGTATCCTGTTCCCCATGTGTATGAATGAATGCTGGCATGAATAGAAGAAAGTTCATGGGCAGGAATGAATGAACCTACGTGTGAATTTCCTCACTCATGGGCTGGGTTGGCTTCCTGTGCAGGAGTGCAACCCCAGACACAGATGGCCCAGGTGCCAGGGCTGGTGGCCAAGCAGAACCGGACCAGGAAGAAGGACCCTTGGACCCTGAAGAGGACCTCTCTGTGAAGCAGCTGCTAGAAGAAGAGCTGTCAAACCTGCTGGACCCCCACACAGGTAGGGACTCCCCGGGGTCACCCTCCTTCTGACCCCACAGTTCCCTTACATGCCTAGGCTTCAGAGTTCTGCTCCAATTCACTACAGGGAAACACAGCCAGTCTTTCTGGGGAGGAATATCAGCAACATTTTACTTCTCTTGGAGGTTCAGGTCTTCGTTTGTTTAAAGACCAGATTCTACTTTGATTATTCATTTGATAAATCATCAGAAGCATAGTGAACCATTTACTGAGCTCTCTATGTGCATGCCAGGTATGGGAGGCATTGTATACACGATCTCATGTAAGCTTCCAAACAATCCTTTGAGGCAGACATTATGAGCTCCAATTTAGAGATTAGCTAACTGAGGCTCAGAGAGGTAACAGTAACCTGTTCAGAGTGACCTAGCTCATTAGCAATTGAAGGGGGACCAACCTGGGCCTGCCTGCCTCCCCTTACCGCCTAAATCTCTCCTCTGATTTAAAGTGTGTTTAAACATCCTTTTACCCTGAGAACCCGGTCAACTCTTTAATATGTTAACATTTCTAACTGAAACAAAAAGATTTTTTTTTTTTTTTAGCTCAGCCATCCTGCCACCTGTTGGCAGCTCAGCGGCAGCTCAGCTTAGGCCAGGAATCAAACCGCTATTGCTCAGAGCTCACACTCTTGAGTGAGCTCTTAACCAACTGAGCCACTCGGCCAGCCCAGAATTTCTTCTAGAGAAACAATTAGTTTTGACAATAGATACAAAACGTGAACTTGAATTCCAGAATCTGCTAGCTGTCCCCTGCTGTGGACACCCCATCAGCCTCCTCTAGGTAACACCCAAAAGTCCAACCATCCCTAAGCTGTGGTTTTTCTGTTTCTGTCATTAACAATCTGTTTCTCATCTGGACATATCCTGTGTGCTCCATCTGGCCGCAAACATGCTGTAGGCAGGCACTTCCTTTCCCTTGGTTAAAACAACATGGCTAACATTTATTGAGTGCTTTCTGTGTGCTAGTCCCTGTCCTAAGCGCCTCATGAGAAACTCTTATGAGATAGGTACAATGCATTATCCCCATTTCATAAAGGAAAAATCTGGGGGGCGTGTTTGCAATAATCCTCCCAAGGTTGTGCAGCTGATGGTTATGTACATAGGCAGTGTGGCTCTAAATTAAAATTAAGTAAAATTAAATCTATTTGAAATGAAGTACATGTAAAATGAAAAATTCAATTCCTCAGTCATACCAGCCACATTTGAACAGCCACATGTAGTTAGTGGATATCACTTTGGACAGCACATACATGGAAAGGTTAATAGGGCAGCATTGTCTAGAATGTAGAACTGTGAGGTCCAATATAGCAGCCACTAGCCACATGTGAAGATGGCTAGTCCAAATTGAGCTGTGATGTAAATATAACACAGTCCAGACTTTGAGCACTTAATATGAAAAAAGAATGTACAATAACTCATTAATAATTTTTAAAATATTGACTACATGATAAAATATTAAATAGAAAAAATATTTTACAAATTAATTTCACCTTTTCTTTTTACTTTTCTAATGTGGCCACTAGAAAATTTAAAATGACCTCTGTGGCTCACATTCTATCTCTGCTGGGTAGCTCTGGGCTAGAACCTGTGGGCTCAGTTCCCATGTAGTCTTGCTTCCCCACAGCACAGAGGGCAAGGAGCACAGGGGGACCAGAAGGAGCAAGGGGATGAAGAGGGCAGCAGGGATTTTAAAAAAAACACCCTGAGCTGCTCACACAGCTGGGCTGTGACGGGGCTACTGGTGAGTGTGCCTGACACTGGGGTCCTGGCTGCATCAGACAAAAGCCCCACCTGAGGATGCGATGACGACAATATTGTATTGGTTGCATGAGCTCACAGAATGCTCACAGCAACCCAACAAGATGAATACTGCTATTTCACCACTTTATGAGAGAAAAAGGAGGCTCAGAGAGGTTAAGCAATTTTCCCAAGGTCACATTGCTCATAAGCAGCAAAGCAGGGAAATCAAACCCAGGTCAGCTCAGCACCCACCTGCTGCAGAGTAAATTCACCACCGCTTTCCAGCCATTCTCATACACCCCAGTGATTTTCTCATTCCAAGCTTCATGCTTTCTGAAGTGCTCTGACCCTTGTACAAGGAAAGGCCTAATTCTGTAACACCAAAAGAATTCCAACCTTATTACCCCAGAGTCTCAGAGAACTAAGGTTTACATTTCCCACATGTCCAGGGTTAATATTTATGTTCATTCAATCATTCAATAAATGTTCACCAAGTCCCAGGCGTGGGCTGGAGCTGTTGGGAAAAGGGGAAAAGGCCTGACCCTGCCTCAGAGCCTGGACGGTCCCTCTCTGACAAGGCAGGACAGAGATTCATTTATATCAATATCAACAACCATTAGCTGTATTTGGAAATAACTTTTCCAAATTACACAAGCAATATTTAGTTAATGTAGAAAAATGTAGATAAAAAGATAAAATCACTTCTGCCCAGGGTAATTTCAGTTAACACTTTGACATATCTCCTTCGTCTGTTATTCTATGCCCAGATTTTTAAGCAGCTCACCTTAAGCAAACATTAAATACATGTTCAAGTAGATGTGCCTTTTTTTTTTTTTTTTTCTAAGACAGTTTCTTGACTACGAGACTTATACTTCCTTTCCTCTGCTTGGCCTCTACCATGGGGCCTGGGACTAGTTGTTGAGACAGGATTTTCTGAAGAGATGGGGAGACGAGCAGTGTGATGGTGGCATTGGGGGCCTAGGGGACAGTTTTTCTCTGCCCCCGTCACTTTTCTGGGATAGCCTTTAGAGAGCCAGGCCCTTCCCAGCCTGCCTCTAGGCCAGGACTCCCTACAGCTTGAGAGGTAAAAGTTGAGGAGTTGAGGGCACAAGGTCAGGTGGTAACAGAGCAGACATTAGCAGGCCTGAAAATTCTAGGGGCCACAGGCGGGCACCTGGAGAATCCAGGGGGAGGAAGGGCCAGCTTTTCAGAGTGGGTAGGGCAGTGCAGTCACGGGGGCTTCCATCATCAGGCCTGGGTTTAAATCTTGGTTTGGTTGCCTAATACATATGTGACTTAACTTCTTGGAACTTTAGTTTCCTCATCCATAAAATGGGATAATATTGTTGACTTCAAAGATGTGTGTGGCCATTAAATGAGGTAATTATGTAAATTGCTTGGCACAGAAGTACTTAAATAAGTGGTCACTATCATGCATATGAACAGAAGCAGCACCAAGCCAGAAACTCCAGCCTTGGCCAAGAAAAGGGATCTTTCCCCTGACCCTCGGCTAGTGGTGCACCTGGCTGTAAGAAATGGGTGAAAGACACCTAGACCTGAAACCCTCCACCAACCCAGACATTCTTTAGGCCAATTTCCAATTCTAGGCCTTCCTCCTCCTCCCCACTCAGCTCAGGCATAACTTCAGTCGCTGCCTTCCTGCCCAGAGAGCTTCCCTGTCAGGGCCTCTTCCTTCCTGTCCCCCTGTGGCTACCCCATCTGTCCCCCGCCATTTCCCTTCCCTCCTTTGTCCAGAGCCCCACCCTCCCCTGCCTAGCCCTCCCGTGGGCCCAGCCCTCACTGCATCCCCTCCTCCCCCTGCAGGCCTGGCCCTGGACCGACTGAGTACCCCCGACCCAGCCTGGATGGCCAGGCTGTCTTTGCCCCTGACCACCAACTACCGTGACAACGTGTTCTCCCCGGATGCAGCAGCCTCGGAGGAGCCAAGGACCTTCCAGACGTTCGGCAAGGTGTCAGGGACCGAGCTGAGCCCAACGGGCACTCGGCTGGCCAGCACCTTCCTCTCAGAGATGAGCTCGCTGTTGGAGATGCTGCTGGAGCAGCGCACCAGCGTGCCCGTGGAGGCTGCCTCTGAGGTGCTGCGGCGGCTCTCCGTCTGTGGAAGGACCCTCAGCCTAGACCTGGCCACCAGCGGGGCCTCGGGCACGGAAGTCCAGGGGGGCCCAGGTGGAAAGAAGGGGTCCGAGGGCAGGACCGGTAGCAGCAGCAGCAGCAGCAGGGGCCTGTGGATCCAGGAACCAGGGGCCCTGGGAGATGTTAGGGAGCCCAGGCCCTGAGGATCCTGGGATATGAGCTGGTTTCTAAAATCTCTGAACTCACTAACCAGAGGTGGCCTAAGAGCTTTAGGGTGACTGATGCTGTCCCACAGAGTGGGCAGCGACCCAAGGACTAATAGCTGGCTGACCAAAGCAGACCCTTCTAGGGGCTGGTTCTGCTTGTGAACTTTTTGGAGGACGCTGATAGTTTGTGGCTAAGTGTTTGCTGGCAAAACACAGGTAGAGCACATAGAGCCAGTCTTCCAGTGGAAGAAATACCACGGAGTGTCACTAGCAGGAAAGGATGGCCTCGTTGCATACGAGAGGGTGGGGGGCTGGGTCCTGGGGTGCCAGGCAAAGCCCTCTGCCCTACTAATAAAGGAAAAATAGTGGCTTATTCTCCTGTTTACACTTATCAAGAGGGAGGAGGGAAGAGAAACCGAGTGAGGGTTGTCATCCACTCCCTGGCAAGAAGGTCTTGCTGGGCCTGGACAGGAGTGGGGCATGTTGGTGCAGCGTTAGGTACGCAACAAAGGACATGTGTACTCTTGAGCCCACTCCTCTACTGCTACATAATCAAATAGTCTGCTTCTCAGCTGGAAAATTGGGACTAAGAAAAGTGTGACTATTTATGGAGTATTTACTTGAGTCAGGCACTAGGCTTGCAATAGGATTTAATTAAATTTCTCAACAACCCTGGAAGGGAGATGTTACTAGCCCCATTTCACAGACAAGGACATGAGGCTTGGAGAGGTTGAGTGTCTTGCCCAAGATTAAGCAGAGAGTAGAGGCAGAGACAGGATTTGGAGCCAGGCTTGTCCGACACCAGAACCCATGCCCTCGACCTTGACACTAGACTGCCAGCCAAGGAAAAGCCCCCATAGATGAGCTTTTGCCAGTAGTGGGCGTGTCTGAGCTCCCCTCCAGAAACACTGCTAAAAAGAGCATTTCCCAAGCTGCTCAGACCTGCACGTCTGGGCACTTCCGAGCCCAGAGTAAAAGGGACTTGGATCTGACCTGATGTAGGCCTGGGCCTCTGCAGGATCCTGTCCTTTTCCAGTGAGAAGCCCTTCTAGAAGTCATCCTTCTAGAAACAACCGTTCATGGGTAAATCTTCCTGTCACAGCAGGTTTGGGCCTGTGAATTCAGGCCCAAGAGGACAGTGTATGAACCGGGTCCATGAAATTGACACTGACAGCAGCAAACCTTTCAGGGGAGGAGGGAGTGAAGAAACAGCAAATATTTTCCCAAGGCTCAGCCTTATAATTTTCCTGGAAATTTCCAAGCTCATACAGCTAGCTTCTCAATATCATGGGGCTTTCCTGGACACCGAAGGCAAAAATGCCTCTGTGCTCCTCCTTTTGTCCTCTTTTGGAGCTCAGGACTCGTGGTCACTGTCCACAGCAATGGGCCCATCATAACCCTAACTAGGGTTAATGAAAACCCTATACCCATACTTAGAATGCAGTGTGGTATCATTATTCCATTCATTTTACAGATGAGGAAAATGAGGCCCCAAAAGCTAAGTGCTTCAGAAGCAGGGTCTCCAGGTCTCTGATCTCACTCCAGGCCAGAGTGATCTTACAAGATCTGTGATTTTTCAAGCTGTTGGGCTCCCCACATCAATGAGAGAGGCCAGAGGAGACCAAGCAGGTAGGGCCTCCAGCCTGACCAGCCAGGTGCCCGGCACAAAGCAACATTTGCTGAATACTTACTGAATGGATGAATGAATGGGTAAAAAATGCGCCAGAGTTTCTTCTTATCTATATTGGAGCTCCAGGTAAGACTTCGTTAGGAAAATTAAAAAAAAGTTTCATTCTGCAAAAGCAATGTCTGAAAACCACAGCACTAGAATTGATGGTGCTGACCTCCCAATGAGTGGTAAATTTCCAGGGCAGAACTGATATTGGGAGGGTGGAGAGAAGAGATAACGGGAGGAGGTGACCTAAGGAACCTGGAACTATGGCTGGCAACTGGATCACTGGAGACACTGGATCGCTGCCTCACTCTAGTCCAAAAGTCCTACATCTGTAGTCCTTGGGACTCTGGAGAGACCCCCTACATACTAGGCAAAACATAAGTATATAAGCATTTTTCTAAGCAGAAAATACAAAGTTCTCATCAGATTCTCCAAGGAACATATGACCTATAAAAGGATGTGCGGCACTGCTCTGTCACAATCTAAACCTCCACGGACATGGGTAATTTTAGTCATAAGGAGACTGAACATTTTACAGCAAGAAGTGGCAAGACAGAAAAGGCTGACTGGGCCAAAGCCATGTGGCAGGTTTATGGCAGGACTGGGGTCTGGGTCTGGGGTTTAGTATGATGATCTTACTAACACATCAAGGGTTCTTAACCCGGGGCCCTTGGTTGGGCTTCAGGATCTATAAACTTTCCGTATTGCACACAAAATTGGGAGGAGGTGCATTTTCCTACGGGAAGAAATCAGTGCTTTCATCAGATTCTCAAAGGTTAAGGACCACTGCAATCCTCTAGGTCAGTCCTCAGTCCTGCCTGTCCCACAAAACCTGGAGAACTCATGGGCAGAGCTATTCAGAGGCAACCAATCTGATCGGGGTGGGGGTGTTGGTACCAAGGGTTGTGCTCTCGCCTGCACCATGCAACCCTCTCCTAACACGCTAATACCAGCCCTTTCCCAATAACAGGCTGAGAGTGAGACGGTGTATATGGTGACAAAACCAAGTGGGCTCAACAGGAAGGTTACAGAAACTTCTTGACATCAGCCAAGATGTCAAAGCTAAGACTTTGGACATGCTCAAAACAGTTTCCACCAAGATGGGCTCTGTCCCCTGGGAGACTGAGGGAGCAGGCAAGCCAGCAAGCGCTCAGTTAAATGTCATCTTAATTTGGAAAGTGCAGAGGGACATTTTTTATCAACAGTCAGCCATTCTCCAGCACCAGGAGTGGGATGCAGTGCTCACTCAGAGCCTGGGGGCAGCTTAGTGATTGACAGGCAGCCTTTGTCTGCTACCCAACTTCAGCTTGGCGGCTCACTGACCCTACCTCTCCTCTGGCTGAAACAAGAGTGAGATGGCAACCACCACCCCTGGGACTTTGGAGAGAACCAAATCCCAGAAAGGAGAAGACAGGAGGGAAGAGGGTGTAGTTTTAGCACAAACTCAGCTTCGCACATAGTGTGTACCTAGAAAATAGGTCTGTTTTTCAGCCCCTACTAAGTATTGGGTACAATGTAATTGGGGGGGGGGGCGCGAGGAGGGAGGCATGATCAGAAACACTCAACATTTTGTATTTGTTGAGCAATTACTACATGTCAAAAGTAGTACTAGGGATAGAAGCAGGGGTAGGGGTATATAGAATCATTCCTTCGACAAATACTTAAAGTACCTACTATGTGCTGAGTAGGCTTGGTGCTGCGTGTTGGGTGAAGAGGGGGCAATGCCTACAATCACTCATTCACTGAATAAATATTTACTGAATATGTACTAAGCACCCTGCAATCTGTTTAGCACTGAAGATATAATGAACCAAAACAGCCTGGTTCCTACTGTAGCATCAGGGCTCCCTGAAAACAGCATCTCCAGATAAGGAAACTGAGATAGCAGAGCCTTGCACAAAGGACTCACTGCTGAGGGCACCAGGCCCTGACCTCAGGTCACCCAGTATCCTAACCCAGGCTGGCCCTGCTGACATGGGCCACCTCCCTGTCCTCCCCTCACATATCCTTTCAGGGCACTGACTATGAGTCATTAATAACAGAATTTTAATGGCAAAAGCACAGTGGTTCAGGGTCTACCAATGAAGTCCATCCCCTGGGGCTGCGTGGAGACCGTGGTAACTGAATAGCCAAGGATTTTTGGTCCTTTGACAACATCTAATTCACGACTCTTCCATCCTTCCCTCTCCACAAGCAGAGCTTAAAAATATCCCACCTCCACCTTTGGTGTCCCAAATTGAATCAGTACTTAATTTGTAATGACTGAGGGAGAGGGAGAGCCATCCTATGGCCATCACCATAGGATGCCCAGTGTCCCTGGACTGTCTGAACTGCCCCTCGACCCCAAGCAAGGTCAGGAAGCAGCAGTAATCAGAAACCCAAAATGACAACAGGAGGGAGAGGCTGGAGAGTGGGGCTCCACGGGAGGACCAGAAGTGACACCTGACACAGAGGAGGCCCCACGAAGGTTCATGAGCCATCGGCAGGTGCTCAACTCCATGAGGGAAGCATTGGGTTAACGAAGTTCTTTACTGCACGACTTCTTGGAACCTTGAATATGCTGCTGTGCATTGTGAAATCTATAAAAAGGGGATGTCTAGTGCAGCGCTTCCCAAACTTATTTGACCACAGAAACCTTTCTTTTTTTTTTTTCCTGCAGGGAGATTAGTGCACTGCACAGCTTAAAGCCCTGAGCTTTAACCAATGTGTGCACTGAGCCCCTACCTGCATGGTAGGGCCTGTGCTAAGTGCTAAGGGTACCGGAATACAAAGAAGGCAAGGTCCCTGGCTCCCAAGGTGCCATCTGTGGAAGACAACCACATGAGGGGATCAGTGGGGGCAGGGCCAGTGTGCAGAGCAGCCCTGGAAAGGTGGGGAGGGGCAGGGGAGGCACTGGAGCTCGGGAAGCTTAGGGCTCCAGTGGTGAGAGAAAGATGATGGAAAAGTATGGCAGGACCACTAGAGGTTGGGGTGAGAGAGGGGGTAGGCAGCAGAACAGGAAATGTGGACAACCCACCCCCCCAACTCCTCCCACCTTTGAGCTGGCCAAGCTGGGTGGTCTTTTCCATTTGAACAGTCACCAGGGAGTTTGGTCCTCAGTCCCTCCCACCCCCCACCCTCAGCCACATCTATGCTATTGAACTTGGGCTAACATCCAAAAGCCAGGGCAAAGCTATTCACAAATTCAGTAATTGGAGTCATTAGCGTTGACTCAGAAATCATTTTTTCTAAGTCTCTCTCTTGAAGAAGCTTTTAAGACCCTTTAAATTGGTTAATGGAGAGTTTCGAGATGAGAATGGAGCCTCGGCTTTCAGCTCCCCCCGCCCGTCTCCCTGGCGCTCCCCAACACACTTAAGGGCAGAGTGATGAGATAATTCCGTATCTGTTTTATTAAGCTCCCATCCATTTCTGGCACACCCTTCACAAACGAAGATCTCAAAATCTACACTCTCCTGCTCCAAGAGTCCAGGTGCTCAATCTGCATTTACTCCCTCACACTGGCAGAGCAATAACGCGTTCATATAAAATTATAGCGTGAACGGTGCAAAAGAGCCAGGAGTCAGGAGGGCTGGGTCCTCTCCTGGCCTGGTGATTCATAAAGCCATGTAACTCTGGTCATCACTCTGCTTCCTCGGGCCCATGTGAGCACCAAGTTCCTTTCTGCAATGAAATGCCCACATCAGCCCTGCAGGGTAGGAGGGAGACACCACTGCCCTTGGTCTACAGCTGAGAAAACAATGCAGTGAGTCAGGCTACTCACTGATTCAAGGTGACATGGCCAGACAAGGTGACATGGCCAGAACCTAGGTCTTCACACACTTTCCTCTTCTTTACTGTGCTGGGGCAGGTACTTAAGGTTCTTTGGGAAGGTGGTTGAATAACTGGCCTCTTCTTTGGGATTCAAGTTGTGGCATCTCTCTGAGAACCCACAGGCTCCATCTTTAGGGCTGAAGTGAGAAGGTCTGAAAAAAAATCAGGCAGATCTATCAGGCTTTTAGTCAAGAAACTCCTTCCTTCCAAATCAGAGGTGAAGTGAAGACAATCATGAATCCACCGGCGATGAACAAAAGCGAACTGATTCAGTGTTTCTCGAGTTTTAGCCGTTCATGGAACCACCTCATCCTTTTTGCCCCCTCTCCAGATCTGTGCTCCCCTTTACGCAACGTCACAAAGTTCTTCTTTAACTTGATTCACTATTTTTAATATCTATGAAGCTACAACAAGCTAGTCACATTTTACATTATAAACTATACAACTACTAAAATAAAAAGTATGAATTTGAGTACCACCTAAAATCCTCTTGTGACCCACCAGAGGCACACACACATCAGATGTTGGCAAAAAAAAAACCCACAACGTAGTCTAAGCCTGAGTAAACTGAGGCATAGGGAGGGAGAGGGTACATGATCTGTTCAAAGACAAAGGCTAAGGTGAGGACCAGGGTCTCTGGACCCTTCGGTACAGTTTTTCACAGGTCGCTGAATGAATCCTTTTTGTGCACAGACCAAAGATGCCTGTGAATGTATCCACTGCTCATCCGTGAGGCTACCAGCTGGGGGAAAAGGTCAAAGTCATTTATTAGCTGTGAACTTGAAATTTCTTGAAAACATGGCTCCCACGGGAATTTCCATCCTGGAAAGGGATCCAGAAACCCTAATTTTATTGCCATCCAACCTCCTCCCTGCCCTCCCCCCAAGTACCAGTGAGAGGTACCGTGATTGTGTCTGATCTCACCTTAACCAAAACCCAGTCTGACAAGACTTCTTTCCAAGGAGTTGGGGTGTCCAGGGATAGCCCTGTTGGGGGCTCCAGGGCCAGCTCCAAGATGCCCACTTCTACAGAGGAGGCCAAGGTTTCCTGTGCTTGAGGCATGTGGGAGGCGTGAGGCTCCTACCAACAGGGTGTTCAGGCTACACAGGGAGGGGCTGGAGAAGGACTTCGATCCTGTAGCTGCCAGGTTGCTGGGCCCCAGGGCTGTGAGAAGAGGTAAGAACAACTCTTACTCATGCTTAGTCTTGGATTCCTACTTTGGAGCAAGGACTTCTTAAGGGATTTGGTTTCCCCCTGGCACTGTTAACCCATTCCAGTCAAGTGACTCATGAGTGGGCAGGGCTGGAGTCCTGAAAGGGTAACTCAGGGCGCAGAGGCAGCCTCAGGATGTCGTCTCTCCTGGAAAATCATCACAGCAGCTGCCATTTATCCAATACCTACCACACGCCAGGCTGTGCTAAGCCCTTAATAGTTATCTCATTTAATCTTTACAACCAAATGAGTGAGATACTACTCGTACCCTCAATTTCAGCGGTGAAGAAACAGAGGATCGAAGATGGAGTCCAAGTTCAGGGACAAAGCAGGGGTTAAAACAGTTCTGTCTGACTCAAAAAGTTGTACTCTTACCCACCACTGGGGCAGGAGATGACAAGGAGCCCAAGAGCTACTGCGACTCCCTTCTCTGTCACGGGGTACTGAGCTCAAGGGAGGGTTTCTGTTGGCTTTGACTTGCGTCTGTACCTGCTGCCTCCACAGAAAACAGGGTCCGCAGCCTCTCCCGGGCGGGCTCATTCTCCAGAGCCGCTGACTGCTGGTAACATCTGACAGCCTCTCCCAGGTTCCTCTGCACACCAAGGCCCTTCTCATAGCAAATTCCCAAGTGGTACCTGCTCTGAGAGTCCTAAAGGAGAAAACGGACAGACACACATATGCAGGACTAAAGGGCTGAAACGCTAAGGCAGGAGGTAGACAGAATAGTCACGCATGCTAGGGCTTCATCCACGCAGGATCAAGCACCAGCCCTGGCCCTCCCTTACCAAGGGGTCTCAACCATGAAAAGCCAGCGGCCCACAGCCCACCCAACACAAAGGAGACAGGAGTCCCTCCACCCAGGGAGAGTCCAGCTGGAAGAGCAAGAAAGCTTCTCTCGTGGAGGCCAGTGCTGAAAGTATGCAGAAGTGAAGTCCCCAGGAAGCCCTAAGCCCAGCTATAGGACATATGGGGGTCAGGCTCCTGTGTTTTCCTGAAAGAACCAGGAGCAAGGGTGAAGGCTAGGCTTCCCAAAGGCCCTGTGTGCCTTCCTGACTCTCCGCCGAGATGCACAACATACATTGCAGAGAATGCGTTTCTCCTCCTATGAAAGATTAAAAGGCTGAGCCCTTTGCCCGTGGCTAGGGATCTTTGCTCTCCTCTCACTGAGCAAGAGGCAGTATCAGGTCGGGTTAGGAGTCCAGTCTTAACAGCCAGACCGCCTGGCTTCCAATCTTGTCTCCAGCATTTACCAGCTATGTAACCTCAGGCATATTAGCCCACATCTCCATGCCTCAGTTTCCTCATCTATAAAGTGGGCATAATAATGGCACCTACCTAATTATGTTGTCAAAAGGATTCAGTGTGTTAGTATGTGAAAAGTACTTAGATTGGTATTATTATTTTCATATCTTGAGTTGCCTGCATCATTAATCGCTCCCTCTCTAATGAAATATTTTCATTACATTCAATCTCCCAACTTAAACAACAAAACACTGTTGATTCCCAACCCTGGTCTCATTTCTCTTTTACCTTCTATAGTCAAATTTCTAAAAAGAGTTTCTATACCATGCAGGCCAAAGTCCATATAATAAACATGGCGGACTCATGGCTACCGGCAGGCTTAGAGCACAGCCAGGCCAACCCACCCTACAACTGCTCAGCACAAACCTAGGAAGACACAATTCCTAGTGAAGTGGATGGGTGTGAGTCCTGGACCCCAACACAGTTATGTAACACCCCTTCTTTGTGCACCTCCTTCTCTGAGCGTGCTGGGTGACTAAAGCTGGCCAGGGTGCCCCTGGCCGAGCCAGCACATGAACAGGAGGCCCACGCAGCCCAGGGAAGGCTCTTTCAAGGAAAGACAGGCACAGCAGCCCGTACTGGTTGGTGACATTGGTCCTCTTCTGACGGCAACTACAGAAACTTTGGGCAA